CTATATATAGCTTAGTTTCTAGTATTAGGTTATACATTTATATTACTAGCTTACTAGTTATAATCTTTTTAAGTTCTTAAAAGGCTTCTTCTATCTAAGAGTTCTAGATAAACTTAAGGTATAGTCTTTTCTTAGTTATAGTGTTTATAAGCAGTAGTGTAATTTTTAAGTAGTCTTTAATTATTTATTACACGTATCTTGTTAAGCCTAAGAATCCTCTAATTTCTTTTACACTTATAAGTGTTAGCTATTCTATTACCTTTTTAACTTTTATAAAGTCTATCTTAACTTTCTTCTTATTAATAATAAATCTAAGGTATTTAGTTTCCTTGACATTACATTTGCATTTTAAAAGTTGTAGGTAAAGTCTATATTTTTGTAATTAGTCTAGTACTAATTTTACTTTTGCTATATAGTCTAGTTTATTGCCTTTAGTGTAGATAAAGATATTGTCTAAGTATACTAGTATAAAGATGTCTAGATATAGATTAAGTGCGGTGTTAATTACTTATTAGAAGGTAGCTAGTGCGTTAGTTAGTCTAAATAGCATAATAAAAAGCTTATAGAAGCCTTTTAAAATTTAAAAGGCTGTTATCTATTTATCACCTTCTTTTATCTTTATTTTATTAAATCTGTCTTGTACATTAAATTTTGTGTAGTGTTTAGTTCTATAAAGCTAGTTCATTATATCTTATATAATAAGTAGTAAGAACTAATCTTAGATAGTTTTTTTATTAAAGGTTTAATAGTTCTAGTAGACTTTTATTTTTCTTTCTTTCTTTTTTTGCAAACACTACTACTAATGCTATAGAACGTTTACTTTTCTATATATGTTCTTTTGCTAGCATCTTATCTATGGATTCTTATAGAGCCTCTTTCTAAATTTTTGTAAAAGGTCTTAGCTTATGCGTTTCTAGCTATAGGTTTAGTTTTAAGTTTATAACGTAGTTCTATAGTTAATGTAGCAGCAGTTTTCCTAGATCTTCTAGTGTTTTAAACATGTTCTAATAATTACTATATTCTTTAAAAATTATGTGTTCTATTTATTACACTATTCTATACATTTCTACCTATTTTATTTCTTTATTTTTAAGTATTTCCTTAAGTGTAGTTTTCTTAAGTTTTTCTTTTATTATTTAAATAGCGTAGGCTTCTAGTTCCTAGTAAAAGAACTTCTTTAGTTTTTATTTCCTAGGATACTAGCTAGCTTCTTACTTTGCTTATTTATGTGCTAGGCAGTTGTCTCTATAGTATACTAACTAGGTTATAGTAGCATGTTGCTTAGAGGTTTAGATAGTTATGTTTTTCTAGTTAATTTCTAGATTATACTTATATAGCTAGTTATAACTAAGTATTGCTTAGTATTTTTCTGTAAAGAGTAGGATGCTTAAGGATCTCTAGTTATACATATCTTTTATTTAAAGCTATAGCTTAACTGTCTCTAATTATATATAGCTATTCCTAAATTTAATTAATAAAGTGTCTACTAGAGAGACCTTAAAGAGGTTTTTTTTTACTTTATATAGTATGTCTTATTAGTCTACCTAGTTAGAGTTAATAGCTGTAAACGTACATTTACTATCTATTAGTGTAAATCTTTTCCTTCTGTTAAGATTAAATTTTATAGTAAAGCTTTTACTTATTCCTTACCTTACTGCTACTAGAACTTTAGTGTTATAAAAGATTTTCTTATAGTTAAGTGTCTTATTAGGCTTAACATTTTCTATGTTTTGTTTCTACTTGTCTATCTAGTCTATCTAGATCTTATACTGCTAGTGTTCTTAGATTATACAGTCTTTAAGTAGGCAGTTTCTATTCTTAACTAATAATGTTAAGAAAGCTAGTTATTCTATCTATATGCCTTCTAGTAGAAGTAGTAGAAGGTGTAACTTCTGTAGTTCTTACAGTTAGTCTATGCTTCTTACTTGTAGTCTAGTCTAGTGCTACAGTGTAGGCAGTGTAGCATTTTGCATTTAGTTGCTGTCTCTTCTAAAGTGTTATCTTTTATATTATTTTCTTTTATTAATTATATCTAGTATCCTGCTTAATGCTTAGTAGGCTAATGCTGCACATAATATTAATTAGTGCATAAGTACTATCTAGTTAGGCATTCTTTTAAGTTTATATAGACTAGTACTAGCTATACTTAGGTGTGAAGCTATGTGGAGCACTAAAGACATGAGGAACTGGATTGTATTGTATTGCTAGAGGAGTCCTTTGCAGGAGTCTATATATATGCGAAATAAGTGGGTGAGTCGTGGCAAGAGACTGTGCTGAGATGCATACGACTATCGTGCCGACGCATGATCATCGTGTGACGACACATCTGACTATCGTGCGACTATGGTGACGACGCATCCGAGTGTCACCAATGCAAACATTAGGTCTACCTAGGGTATTCTTTCGTTCTAATAATTTATAGAAGGTGTGCTTTATATTAGCATTTAGATTCTTTATATTATTTACTTCTATAGAAAATGCAGTACTAATTAACTTACTATATTTTAAGTTCTTTTCTTGTTATTATAAGTGCTAGAGGTAGCGTCCCTAATCTCTTAAAGTAGAGTTATAAGGTATAAAGCAACATGCTTACCTACTTTAGACTTTCTCTATTACTAAGAATTTTCTTAAAGAACTTCTATCTCTTAGTCTTGTTAAGAATGTTATAGTATACTTAAGTAATATTTAAGATAATTTTATACATGTTTATGTTGTTGTTAATGTGTACTTTATAATATTTTTTCTTATAATAGTTGTAGTTATAGGTCTCTCTACATTTCTAACATTTACTATAGTAGAAATAATAGGCAAGCTTTTTTATAAGTATACCTGTTATTAGTTGTTTTAAGAGAAATCTATTTTCTTTTTACTTTACAATTTTAACATAGTTTATAACTTATATTAAATTACACTATTCTTTAAAAACAGCAGCTTATTTAATTACTTAGAGAACCTTATAGTTGTTCTATACTTCTACCTCTTAGTAATTCTTAGAATAGTTTAGTAGTTTATAGTTAGCTCTGCATCTTTAGCAGAGTTGTTTGTTAAGTTTGTTATAAATTTTTTTTTAACATTAGTTTTTATTTTACGCGCATAACTTTTATAGCTAGTCTTTTATCTTTATTCTCTAGGTTTCTAGAGTCTAGACATTTCTAACAGAAGTAGCCTACTTTTTTATAGTTTAGACAGGCTTTTTTCTTAAGCTATTTCTTCTATTTCTTGCTTAGAGGTAGTCTGTTACCTTTAGAAGGACTCTTGCTTTTTTTTAAAGGTACTATATATGTTTGCAGTAATCACACGATAGTCGGATGCGTCGTCACCATGGTCGCATGCGTCGTCACTATGATCGGATGCGTCGTCATCATAGTTGTATGCGTCGTCAACATGATCTGTTGCCAAGACTCACCCACTCATTTCTCATGTATATAGACTCCTACAAAGGACTCCTCTAGCAATAGATACAATGCAGTTCCTCATGTCTCTAGTGCCTTACATAGCTCTACAATATATATGTTTTACATAACTAAGGTCTATTAGCTCTCTATTATGTTAGGGGGCCTTCTTCTTTTTAGATGTCTACTTAGACTTCTATGTTGTTATGCTAGTTTTTTTTTCTCTTTAATGTTTTATATATCTTTTGTTATAAGTTATTACTTAGTTAATAAATTTTTTTTAGAGTTTTTAGCTTTCTATTAGGTATAAATATATTCTTAACTATATTATTTAGCTTATTATAGAACATTCTACTTATAGCTTTTTAGTCTGTCTATCTATAAATAGCTAGTTATTTGCAGAAGCAAGTTGCATAATGTTAGACTATTTTTTTTCTTTATTATAGAGTGTCTATCTTATTAACTATTTTTTTTTTAATTTACTAATCTATAAATAGCAGTTAAGGCTTTCTTAAAAAGGTTAATGCTACTAAAGAGTTCTTTTATTAGTTTTAAAGTCTATCTAGCTATCTGCGTGTAGCTAGAACTAAATAGATAGAAGGCCTTCTAGGTAAAGTTCTATCTAGGAGATTATTTCTTTATATGTTTAAAAGGCGCCCTTCTTGTATTATATATAGAGGTAGCATTATATAAAAAATAGCTTAAGATCTTTTACACTTCTAGTAAAAAGCTTAAAAGAGGCTAGTCTTAATGTTTTTTTAAAGTTTATACTTAGTTTTTCTTAAGCTGCATTTCTTAAGGTTAATACTTTAAGTTAAAGAGCTTAGATCTAGGAATTTGCTGTTATTAGTCCTTAGTTTACTAACTAGGCTAGTATTTACTTTAAGGTAGCTACTTTGTTTCTTAGATTGTTTAACTGTTAGTTTATTACTTCTTTGCTTAGAGTTAGAATCTAACTAGTGCTAGCTAGTAAAGCGCTAGTTATTTCTAAATTAGTAGAGGTAGTGTAAGGATTTATACTTTCTTAAAAAGGAGTAATTAATGTTATAATCTTAACTCTAGAGAAATAGTGTCTAAAGAACTCTAGGCTTATAGAGGAGATTAGAAGATTAGAGAGGGAAGGGAACTTAGTCTTAACAGGTGTACAGTCTGTTTAGGCAAAGTTGCTAGGACTAGAGAGGCGGCTGACTGTAGTTTGCCCTATAACAGCAGTATAAGGCGCTTAGGTTAAATAGTTCTTTAGTAGAACAAGAGAGAAGGTATATGTAGTGCAAGATATATAATTAGATTACTTCTTATTAAAAAGTAGTAATACTACTTAGTCTATGTAAAAAATAAACTAACTATTAATTATAACTTTTAAGTAAAGTTAGAATCTTAAACTATATACATAGGTTTACATGTTCTTACATGCTTTGCATGTTGTTGCATGCAACGTACCTCTGGCATTCACTTGCATGCACTTGTCAGATATGCGCACCTACTGTCAAGACAGGAGGAACGCTGGACGAAAGCTGCTACATAGTACAAGCAATAAGCTCGAACAGTATGTTGCTGCAAATTGCAGCATGTTGCAGCATTTTGCAATATTTTGCAACAAATTGCAGCATGTTGCAAGCTGGTCGCGCATAGGGCTAGTGCGCGAGGGACTCGGACCGGAAAAACAAAGCCGAGCAACACGAGCAGAGGGGACAGACAAAAAGACAACATCGATCAATCAATACAATCAATCATCATCCCATACATCATATCCAAAACCCATCATTCATCTCAGGAAGCCTAGAAACAGTGCTTCAATCTGACAGCACTGCATGCTTTTGCATGCAAACGTCTCCTTCTCATTAGATGACGCATTCCGCCGCGCATTGGTCTAAAAGCTTGGTCCATTCCTCGTCCGTTAGGTCACGTGACTTGTTGGGCAGGGAATCAAGGACTTTCCATCCTTGATCGTTCAAACAGTGGGGCACGGCTGACTGGTTGCTTACGGTCTAATCGTAGGTCGTAACAGTAACCTCCTTAAGCTACATTACTGCGCTATAAAACTGCAACTTCTAGCAGCTATATAGTGCGTAAGACAGTAGCAAAGAGCTAGTTTAGGCAACATTAAGGTTACAGCTAAGTTAATAATAATAGATAATAAGATAGAGCTTTTATATAACCTTAGTAGCTAAGGTAGTAACTATTATAAGATTTAACACTAAGAACTCTTATAGTATAGTTTAACAAGCTATTAAGTTAAGCCTTAAGCAAGCCACCTATCTTAGCTTAATTATGTGATTAATTTAAGCTGCTTATTATCTTATCAAGCTCCACTCAAGCCAGCTAGCCGGCTTGACTTGACTTGCTTGTTGGAAAGTTTGATTTTCACAGGTATCCACACGTTTCGTGTCGCGAAATATCGGACTTGGTTCTGCCCCCCTTTCTTCATTGGAGGCTTAGTAAGTTTTCCCCTAGGGCTTGTTTACTAAAGTTTACAGTATTTGTAGTTCGAGGGAATCGGATACGCCGGCCGCGCCGCTGCCCATGACAACCTCGAGAGTACGACACCCTACATTGTCCAATCCATCCTCATCCTTATCGCTCCAATTCTCTTCGCAGCCTCCATCTACATGATCCTCGGTCGTCTCATACTACGCACCAACTCCGGATCTCTCTGCATCCTCGGACCGTCCTGGGTCACCAAGATCTTCGTTGGCGGCGATGTTCTCTGCTTTCTCATACAATGGGGCGGTGCTGGAATGCTTGTTCAAGCCACCGACGCCAACGCGGTTAATCGTGGCGAAAACATTATTCTAGACGGGCTGATACTCTAGATTATGTTTTTTGGGTTCTTTGTTGTGGTTGCAGGGATCTGGCACTGCAGACTGGAAGATAGGATCACGGCAGCGTCGACAGAGATACCCTGGAAGCGGTACATTTTTTTGCTTGTATGCAGCCAGTACTTTTATCACCGTTCGAAATACTGGCCGTGTTATTGAGTATGCTACAGGCAGAGTAAGCTCCATCATTTACTATTGATTTGCCGCGCGCTGTATGACTGACGAACGTGAACAGGATGGCTACCTTTTCACACATGAATGGTGCCTCTACGTCTATGACTTTATCCCTATGATGCTGACCCTCTTCGTCTGCATCGCCTGGTATGACCCTAACATCCACCCCAACAGCGAGAAAACCGACATCGACATGGGTATTCTACGCTAAGGTGGTGATTTTTGCCCGTCATGGATGTGGAGGTATCTCGAAACCGAAGTAGTATACTGTGGGGCCTTATCTTGAGTAGAGGGTAGTAAGCGGGGTGTTGTCTCAGGGGATTCTAATCAGAGGAGTATTGAACTTTGGGGGTTGCCATGAGTGGGTTGGGTTTGTCGGGTGAACTTGGTTTACATATAATCACAGATGTCCAGCGTAGTATCAAGGAGAAGAGCATCTGTAGCGTGGGCTGGTCTGGGTTCATATATCCCTAAACATCTCCCTTGTCTAGTTGTTTAACGACATAAATCTAGAGCCCCTAATTTAATTGCTCCCTAGGGACACCCTATCGCAGTGTGGTTGGGCCTTGAGTGACATGGTGACAGCGGTATATAGCTAGAAGGAAAGGTAGATAAGCAATCTTTAAATAGTTGCGGGTAGGTAGGTAGTTAAACTAAGCTAAAATAGATGTTTTAAGCGATATGTAAACTTATCTCTATTAAGTACGTTCTTAAATCTATACTAGGCAACAATAACAATATTTTATTAACGTACACTATAGGCAAGTTGCTTACACACCTAAGTTGCATACTTTTACTAAGACTCTATTAAACTACTTTTCTTACTCTAATGCATTCCTAACAACACTACTTAGACATACTAAAAGAATGTTAGATATAGCTTACACTTTAGGCTTTTAAATAAAATGTAATAACCTTAAAGTAATATACTATAGCTATATATAAAGTTTTTTAAAAAATAATAAATAACTAATATATTAAATCACTCTTATAAGCTAATTCTATAGCTAACTTATAAAGGCTAGATAATAATAAAAAGAAAGTAATTATAAAGTATATACTTAAGCTATATATGTAAGGATTTTTCTCTTAGCTAGTAGCTATAGCTAATATAGCTAATTCTTTACACGCTAAGCATAATCTAGGCTATATTAGCATAAACTAGCCTAGTATATTTATAAAGTATTATTTAAAGCTTAAAGTAAAGTTTTAAGCATAAGTATAGTTAGTAAATATTTAGCTTATTATAAAGCCTATTTTATTAAAGTTGTACATGTTATAATTTTAGATGCTATACTTAGCTTTAACATTGTTTACAAAACTAAACTAGCTTTAAATTACTTTAAAATTCTTATAAAAAGCTTTTTTTTATAGTTATACTTATGCTTAAACTTTACTTTAATCTTTAAATAACACTTTATAAACAGACTAAGCTAGTTTATGCTAATATAGCCTAGATTATGCTTAGCGTGTAAAAAATTAGCTATATTAGCTATAGTTACTAGCTAAAAGAAAAATTCTTATACATATAGCTTAAGTATGTACTTAATAATTACTTATTTTTATTATTATCTAGCTTTTATAAGTTCGCTGTAGAATTAGCTTATAAAAGTTATCTAGTGTGTTAGTTATTTATTATTTTTGAAAAGACTTTATACATAGCAATAGCATGTTGCTTTAAGAGTATTATAGTTTAGTTAAAAGCCTAGAGTGTAAGTGTTACAATTCTTACTCTAATGAAATGGTATTTTCAGGAGTACAACAGCCTATAGTGATGTTAGCGGTAAAGGGGAGTAGAACTTAGCTAGATTAGGTGTACAGTCTGTTAAGCAGAGTGTAGGGTTAGCAGAATAAAGAAGGCAGGTTGTGGTTTAGCCTAGCAGCTGTATAGGGAGCTAGCAAACCTAATCTATAAAGATAGAAAAGAAGGTATATATAGTGCAAGATATATAAGGCAGTAATGTCCTTTTTATAAAAGTTTTAATGCCTCTTAGTCTATTATATAGGTAAAGACTAAATAGTAATTACAACCTTCTAACTATAGTTGCAATTAAGACTATATACATAGGGTTTGCATGCTCTGCATGCTTGCATGCTTGTTTGCTACCTAGCCTGCATAGCCTGCAAGCCTGCAAGCCTGCATAGCTTATTAGATAATACACTCTGCAAGGCTTTTCTCTAAAAGCTAAAGCTATTTCTTATCTGTCCTATTACATAATTTACTTAGCGTAGGGCTAAGCGTCTTCTATCTAACATTATTTAGGCTATAAGGAACAGCTAGTTAGGTTATTATAGTCTAACTATTAGCTATAACACGTAGGCTTCTCTCTTAGTTAGCGTTTTTGCTGTTATGTTTTTTCTATTATAAGCGTTAGGTTTTTTTTTTAAGTAGTGCGTTTTCTTTTTTAAAGCCTAGCTTTATGTTTAACTTTTTTAACTATGCTGCAGTAGGTTTCTTGTTCTTCTGCTACTGCCTATTATCTTTGCACTGTTACTTGCCTTAATCCTTTTTGTTATACAAAGATGCGTCTCTATAGTGCTTGTTATTTAAGCAGGTTCTTTTACGCAATGTCCTTGTTATTAGACAAGTGTGTAGAGTGTGTGCAAAAAGGTAGTTGTTATAATGCTTTTATGTCTAACACAGCCTAGAATTGTTTAGAGCAGAAACGCAAAAGGCTGCTAGCTAAGCTAGAAGCAGTCTAAGAGAATAAGATGCGTAAAAAGGAAAAGTTTCTAAAGAGACAGCAGAAGTCCCTTACATGTTGTTACAATCCTTGCTTCGTGAAGCACTCAGGTCTGATGATGTTCCTAGGGGATGAGTAGGACGGGTGGAAGGGGCCAATCCGGTAGGGTGTACAGTCCTACGTACAGGCTATTAGGCTAATGGAGAATAAAGAGTGACCAGATTGTAGTTTGCCCTATGTGCAGCAGTAGGGAGGCTAGGGTTAAACAGTCCTTGTTAGACAGAGTTAGAGGTATATATAGTGTAAGATATATAAATAGTATTACAGCTCTTTAGAAAGCTAAATGCTACTTAGTCTATGTAATAAATAAACTAAATGTTAAACACACCTTCTAAAGGTTGTTTAATGTGGGAACTATATACATGTGCTAGGGCGCTAAGGGGAGCTAGCAGGAGCTTAGGGGAGCCTGCTAAGAGGGGCTCCTATAAGCTCCCTCTGGCTCCCTAGGCTTGTCTACCTATTAGACAACGCATTCCTCCATAACTTTAGGCAGCCGTGCTGCCTCCGTGTCCTCTAACTGGTCTCTAAGCGAGCCCTGTCCCAACCTAGCTAGATTGTGGAGCACTGCTGGTGGAGTTACGCTGGTCCAACTGTAGACTGTAACACGCTGCCTCTCCTTCCTAGCAGCGTCCTTGCCGCTCTGCTTACACAACTGTGTTAGTAAGAGTTTATTTATAAAGTGTGCGTCCTCTTACTAGAAAGTGTTTTTAACATTTATTTTTCTTATACTAAATAGCTTGCTAGTCCTGTTTGTCTTATTGTCCTTATGTTGCTCTTTATTTTAATCCTTTTTATTAGATAAAGATAAGGCCCTATAGCGCTTACTAATTTTTAGGGTTGTCTTATGTGTTAACTTTGTTCTTAGATAAATGTGTTAAGTGTGTAAAAAAGCATAGTAAGTGCAACACTTTTATTTCTAATGCTGTGTAGGATTGTTTAGAGAAAGAAAAGGAGACACTTCTTTAAAAAGCTAAGGCCTTACAGGCCTAGAATTGCGCATTGCAGGATAAGCAACAGGCTTAGGTTTAGGAAGAACTCCGCTTACAAGAGGAGATATTAGAGGCAATAAATAAAGAGTGTTTTAAATAGAATTATATCTAAAAGTTATTAGACCTGCTAAAGGCTTGTTGTGTAAAATACCTAAAAGAGGACCTTTTTTTTTTAAACAAGATAGAAGCTTTTAAAGCTAAGGTAAAAGGCTATTCCTTTTTTTAACCTTTATTAGCTAGAACTTGTCTCTAAAGGCTACTGCTATCTAGTAATAACATAGCTGTTCCTTTTAATATAGGTGCCTTATTACCTAGCTAGTTTCTTTTAGATAAGCTTAAAGGTACCCTTATACTAACAGCTACACATTCCTTAAATTCTTAGCTAGTTTCTATGTATTTTTACTAGTAGGCTACTTTTTCTATTTTACTAGAAATTCTTTCTAATTTTTTTAATTACTAATAATGCGCTTAACTTTATATTCTGTTTCTTTATCTTTTTATTTTTATGTAGATAGGGGAATTTCCTTTAGTGCCTTTTCTAATTTAGAGATGTAGAACTATAGGTAGATTTTTATATGTAAGAGAAGCTTAAGCTTACAGTTATTTTACTAAGTTTATAAGACTTTATAGGGTCTTATTCTTTTTTCTGCTAGCTTCTTAGAAGGTCTAGGTATTTTAAGGTTTTTTGTATTAAAGTACACATAGTCTCCTAGGCAGATCTCTAGTCCTAGCTGTTGTAATTTGTTTGCGTACCTCTCTATTATTTCTCTGCTAGATCTAGCTTCTACAGCTAACCTTTTATGTATCTAACATAGGTCTGTTAGCTGTTCTATTAACTTTTATAGGTCTGTAGGTTAACTTCTGTGTAATATAAAGTAGAGGTTATATCTAAAATTAGCTCTGTATAGTGTTTCTTTTGTTATAGCTAATTTTATGTTGTTAATAGCTAACTATGCTATTAAAAGCTATACTGTCTAATTATCTTAAGTATAGAAAATGTACTTTCTTAGGTATCTCTTTACTTCTGCGTTTACTCTTTTAGTCTGTCTGTCTGTCTACAGGTAGTAGGCTGTTAATAACTTGTGTGTTATACTAAGGTGCTACATTGCTGCTTTTTAGAAGTTGCTAGTAAATAATTTATCTTAGTTAGAGATAATAATCTTAGGGCATTTATGCATAGATATTATGTTTTATTTTAACTTATAAATAAATTTTTTAGCAGTTATTGTTTTTTCTAAGGGCTAGATATGCAGATATTTAGTAGTTTTATCTAGGGCTACTATAATTATATTACACATCCTATCTATTCCTAGTTCTTTAGACAGGGGTAGTTCTATAATAAAGTCTATTATAATTATTGTCTATAGTAGCTTTAGTGCTTTAATTAGTTGTAGGTAACTATAGGCCTTATGCCTTTACAGGTTGTTTCTATTGCAGGTGTTGCACTCCCTAAGCACCTCTGTGCATAGTTGCTTTAC